AATGCTGGTTAAAGCGTTGAGCATTATCATAAAAAAGCAAGTAATTATGTGTCAGGTGTGTGGATATCCTTATGGCATTGTTTTGTTTCTGTGTATTGTCTGGGTTGTTATTTGTTACTTTTCTCCTTGCTTTATCTTTCTTTCTACCTCTCCTCCCTCCTTTCTCCTTTGGTTTACTTTTTTCTCTGTTTGTCTGTCTGTCTTTCTATCTCTCTTCCCTCCTGTCTCTTTTGGTTTATTTTCTTTCTCTATCTGCCTGTCTCTGTCTCTCTCTATCTTTCTCCTTCTCTCTCTCTCTCTCTCTCTCTCTCTCTCTCTCTCTCTCTCTCTCTCTCTCTCTCTCTCTCTCTCTATCTCTCTCTCTCTCTCTCTCTCTTTCTCTTAGTTTTTCCCTCTATCTTAGATTACTATCCCTTTCTTCCTCTCCCTCTGCTTCCCACACATACATGCACACAAACCATCTAAATATCTTTCCCTATCATTTATCCCCACAAACATCTGCCGATTCAAAACCCTTTTTCTAGATCACTAACACTAACCCTGTCACCCTTTATCATGTTGGGTTGTCTGTCATGTCATGTTGTGTTGTTCATGGCATGCTGTCCACAGTATGATATTACCATGGTATCTTTTGTTATCATCATTATTATTATTATTGTTATTATTATTATTATCATTATTATCACCATCATTATCCTCACTATAATTGTCATTATTTGACTATCATTACTATCATGACCAATATCATCATCACTATCATTAAGATTGTTATTTTTATTTCTATTTCATTATTCCTAATACAAACATTCTTCCTGAATCATCATTATTATCATTGTCATTGCTATTATTCTATTGCTATTATTCTATTTTATTATTCTATTATTGCTTTTATTCTATTATTCCATTGCTATTATTCTGCTATTATGATCAACATTATCCTTCTTGACATCATTATCATCATAACTAATACAAAAAAATATTATACTTATTATTATCATAACTATCACATCATTAGCTACATCATCTTTATCATTGTTTCTATAGTCTATTTCATTCTCATTCTTATTGTCACATTTCATCTTTGTTATTTTTACTATTATCAGCATCTCATCACCATTTCAATAACTTGGATTAGTGCAACCACAGAGAATGGTATTTATCTTATTATGTTATTGTTGTTGTAAGCGTATATTTATTATTATCAACATTTATTTTATCCTTATGTTATATTTGGCATCACTAGTCTGGATGTAATAGTGATTATCATTAACATTCTATTGATTGTCATTTTTATTAGTATCTTCGTTATTATTTTTATTGCCAGTATAATGATCATTAGTATTATTGCTAAAATTCTGCTATTATCATCATAATATTATTTTTATTACTACTACTTCTATTATCAGCATTACTATCAATTTTAAGGGTGCTATTGTCATAACCATTATTATCATTACTATTTTACCAGTATTAATGATACTGTTTTCTCACTATCTACAATAATGTACATATTACTATCACCCAACCAGTGACAATTACTGTAACTTGCTCATAAAGTACATGCCATTACCATTATTATCATTAACACCATCAATATTATAACTGTTGTTATTATCATTATGGCTTGTCTTATCAGTTCTATCTTGTCTCACTTATATCACTTTTATCACTTATAGAATAGCAATCTTACTTTTCCCAAATATATAAATTCAAAACGATATTTGTGAAAAAAAATGAAAAAAAAAATCACCCTTTAATGCCTATATAAAAATAATAGTTCTTTAACCTAAACCAATCTTCACTAATACGAAGAAAGTGTATGTTGATTATAACCTCATTACTGTAGGTATTTAATATTGGTACAAAAGAGCAGAGTGACTTTTTTTTATCTATCCATGAGTGTGTCTCAAAGGTGGTGGTGGGGGTTATATGATCTTCCTATAAACGAGAAAGTGCCAATCTGACTACACATGACGGATCCAGAAACTTAATAAATATATAGATAAATAAATAGGTAAATAAATAGATGAATAAATAAATAAATAGATAAGAAATAAAAAAGAAATTCAAGCACGAATGGGTTTTGAATAAGTTTGGGTCCAACAACATGAGAAAAACTGCTCTAAGAATCTCGTATACTCTTTTTTTATTATTAATCTGTAACCTGTAAATCTAATCAGAGTTTAGAGAAAATATATGAAATTAATAAACGTACTCAAAATTCCAGAGAAGTGGTAAAACATACAAAAAAAAAAAAAAAACGGAAAATGGACGAGAAAACATGCCTAAAAATCCAGGGGAAACATGCCTAAAAATCCGGAGAATGTGGAAAAACATACACGATAATCCGGGGATAAAAATAAATAATTAATTAATGAATAAATAGAATAAACATAACTAAAAATCCGGAGAAGGGAAAGAGACAAACCCAAAGATCCGGAGTAGGGGAGAAAACATGTCCAGAAATAAATAAAATAAATAAATAAATAAATGAAACATA